TAAGTCCAATTATTTAAATTATTATTTTTAAAAAAACTAATTTGTCTCATTTATAAATTGATATATAATCTAATGATCTTCATCTTCATAGGCATTTTAGAAAGATCATGTAACATATACTGGAATTAAATAATTTAATACTTTTTTTAATCTTCTCAAATTACTCATTTAAGTCTTATATTAAAACCAAAATAATATGTCTTAAACTTGATTGATTATGGCAGATATTTGTTAACAAGGTAACATTCAATGAAAGGAGAGTTGTGCAGCAGAATTTAGAAATTTATGATTTATAGATGTGTGTATCAGGTATGCAAGGTCATGGAATGTATGAGTTTAAGCAAATTCGTAACATGAAAGTAAACTTGTAAGAATTTATTATTTTACCTCTACCAATAAATAATAATAAAAATATATGATTAAATGATTCATATAAATGACAATAGTTTTATTTAAATATATTTCAAATTCAAATCATTGTATTTTTTTGTTTACATAAAAGGCAACCATATTACAAAGTAAAGAAAATTCTTTGTTGAATATGATCAATTATAAATATTGATAATATTCTCCGCATAGCATTAGTTTGTCAAAGTTGGGCATTGATTTTGAATTTAAGGCACACGAGGTTAGGATACTTAACTTAGTTATTACTGCGAAGCACAAAGCCGAGGAATGAAGACCCCGCCCACCTTTTTTCATTAAAAGAAAAGGATTAATTTCAGCACTTGTATTGGCAAAGGATGCATGCCCTTTCTATAAATTGAGTCTACATGGATTACAATGTACTAAGAACTAAATAAAATTCTGAAGATAGATTGGTAAAATTACCAGACCCAGTTAAATCATTAATTCAACTTTTAGTCCATTAACAACTTGAGTTACAAGGAAAACACAGGCAAACCAATAGAAAATCTGGACCCAAAATTCTTTAGATCTATAAATTAATAGTACCTCCCGGTTTATATATAAGAAACAGGTTATACCCTTTGCGTATAAGTAGGCTCAGAGGTAGCATTGCCTTTTAAGTTTCCCTACCCTACAGATGTTCAAACCCCCCAAACATATCAGAAGATGCTAAACTCGCAGGCATAGCAATGAAGCTATTAGCTAGATGTGAAAATGACAGTAAAAAAAAAGACCATAGAAGACAAAGACTTGACGACGAACATGTTACAATTGGAGTAAACTAGTTGATAAGAAACAATTAATCAAGTGTTGGTTTGGAAAGATTGGATACTTCTGAAGAGACGATATCTTTCTTCATATGAGAGACTGAAATAACAGACCATCAATACATGTCATCTGCTCTTCTGCTTCAGGATATCGTATAATACCACAAAACATAACAGAACTCAAATCCCACAATGGTTGCTGGCTGAAGATTTTGCAAGGCTACATATCAGTTAATTATCTACTCAAAGGAGGAAATAGTCACAGATACAGGGCATGAATGAAAAGTATCTATGGGTTCAATCTGAAGTGCCATCTAGCATGAGTGTCAAACATGGATAAAACTCCATAATCAAATCCTTTGTGATTCATAAGTCTCTCTAGTTTGTTCAGATCTTAATGTCTTAGATGGTAGTGCATGTGCAAAATCTAAAAAAAAGAGGATCTAGACAGCTTTTGACTAACTGTTATCTGATGAGCTCAACAACAGTTAACAATCTACCTTTTACAATCAAAATCAGATCAAGTTAATTCTAACTTGCAAGTGGGTTTGAAAAGCTCATAGTTATTCTCAGAAACAGAAGTGTTCAGACCCAAAAGACAAATAAGCAGAGCTAAGAATCAGAATGAAGAACAAGAATTCAACAAAATATGTCCATCTTGCATCCAGAATATCAACTAAAGAAGCAAAAGACCCATTGACTTGTAATCCCTCCTAACAAACCTGCCATTTCTTGCTTGGTTCATTGGTGCCTCCTTGACATAAAAATCACCGGGTGGATCAGGAAGAGGACTGATTACAAAACACTGAACTTGCACTTGGAACTAGCCCAACATGAATATCACATTCAATATGATTTGATTGACCTGTGAAATGCTCCTCAGTTTCTACTAGAAGTGGACTATGATTCTCAATTCTAGAGCTCAAAATAATTGAAATCTACATGTTATGAACACCATCGGAAAAGTCTTGCCTGCCATATGTATGTTTAATCCTAATGAATATTCAAATTGTGCCAAGAACTTAAACTGTAGAGGTTTATATAGCCTTTTAAAAGCCAAGATATAACTTGGCCAATAACATTGTCATGAAAGCAGTTATTGCCAAGTGGCATGATACTTCGTCATCAATTCCAATATTCTATGAAGTACTGACATCCATTAAGAAGTTACGGTACAGTCAAGTCTGATCAAAGGTAAACAGGAAAAAGCCTAAAAAGATATTATTTCACATTGCCCAAAAAAAAAAAAGGTACACACACACGCGCACACATTTAAAAGAAGCCAATAAAAAGGAAATCCAATTTACATTATCCCTGAACGTGCAGCAATAACGATAAAGAAATGAACTTTTAACTTAGACCTTTGCACATGAAAATGAAATAATTCATGTGAAAAAAAAAAAAAGAAATAATTCAAGGTGAGAGAGAATTTGAAAAGAAAATTGCTAAAAAAAAAAAAAACCAAACCAAGTGAAACAATTAAACATACAAAGACAACATTATTGCACATGAAAATAAGAAAGAAATGACTTATGGCCAAATGTCAACTGAGAAAACCTTCATGGAAACCATAAAATCTTTTAGAAGGAAAAGAAGAGCATAAAATGCTCCGCACATTGTGCTCTATGAATGGAGATGTCCAGATAATATGCAAGAAGTGAAAATTAGGTCAGGTAAACTTGGCAAGAAGGATAAAATTCCTACAATGATGCATAATAACCTCTGCGTTGTAGAAAATTTCAAGCAGCGCTGTAAAAATAAACCTATTAGGACTTATGGCACACAATTAATATCAAATATGCAAAGATTAAAGATCAAACCAAAGAATATTAACCTGTAGCATGGTGATACAAAGCTGCTAAATAAATAAAAACTTCATAGGTATAAAGAAGTTAAAAGTTATACATTTGGAAAATCATGTAAATTTTACTCTGCATGGTATCAACTTAGTGTTTGTTGATATTAGTTACTTAGATTTACTGAAATCATTGCAATTATTTTTCCTTATATATAGTAGGTAGCTACAGAACCTGCAAGACTTGGCAATGGATAATCACCTATATGCTATAAAGTCAAATGAAGTTAATAATATACTAGTACTAGTATAACAAAACAGAAGTAGAACAATGTGCTACCCAGCTTCTACTCAACCTTGGTTCAATATTTCACCATGTAAATTGTAAAAGCGAAATTAGTATGCGAAAAAAATATTGATAAATAATTAGAGGAAAATCAGTCATTGCACATAAATGTGCTAGCTGGTTTACTTAACAGGTGCATCAAACTCAGATTTGCATTCAAACAATCTTTCTTTACAATTTTCATTACAGTGATTTGAAGAACATCAAACTGTGAATTTCATTTAGGGTATCCATATCTTAAGTCCAAAATGATCTATCTGCATACTATGTTTCAGTATTCTTAGATGTAGATAAAAGATTTAATCATAAAACCAGAAAATATAATCCTTTATCAGATCATAACCAAAAGGTTTTCTGAACAATGTCCCTTGTCCAACCATTACCAGACAAAGCTGATGAGCTTTCCCATTTCTACAGCATTGATAAATATATGGAGAGGAATTCATAGATGAAGCAGGCGACTAGAATTTCCCCACCGTAGAAAAGCCATTTTCATAATCCCAGCCAGGAAAATAACTTGCTAAACAAAAAGGCAGAACTCAAAAAACAAAGGCAACTTTGTTAACCAAACATCAAAACCATATTAACCAGAGTCCTTCTGATTGCATTGCCCAGCCAATGGCAGGTGTTGTCTTCCCATCTGCACATGTGGATCCCTGCATAGTCTCAAACCTTCATAACAGCCACACCTACACACTCACAGAGGGATGAGAAGAGAAGTAGAGAGAACAGAACAAAACAGAACACAGTAAAGAAACAAACATTAACTGATATAGATATACATATAGAGTTTGAGGCAGATATGATCATGTTGCTTCATATTTCAAAATGGACTTGAAATAATTTTGAATTCAACAATATTCTACAGTGTTCCCAAAATGCATCCAGAGTGGCAACTGGCTAGCGGCAACATTTTGACTAAAGAGTAACAAATTCTACATTGAAACCGATGACCATGATAGATGAAGGGAGAAAGGTTCAGTAATTCAGAAGGCTTTCCCTATATTGATTGATTATTCTGAAATCTGAGAGTCCAAAGAAGTTCAACATCGCACATTCTGAACACAAATCTGGTAATATTACCCTGCAGAGTGCAAGCTTATCATTTCACAGTCGATAACATCAGGCACAAGAACCGTATTGCAGAGATAAGACCCTTCTAGCATCAAGTTTTGGTCGCAGGACCTAACGTTTACAACAAACACCAAAAAAAAAAGAAGGAAGAAACCAATGGGGACGAACCTCTCCTGGCAATATGAGCAAAGTAAGCCAAAACCGTAAGACATTGACACAAGAGAACTTCTAACTTTTTCATTCCGAATAAACCAGTCATCAGTCAGAAGGACATTGATGAGGCGAGGACTGGGCCTCAGTTGATTTATGTTAAAAGAAAGCCCAAGGGCAATTGAGGGATTGTATGGGTGACGGTTAGAGGAGAGAGACGGATGGGAAATATTGTTATATAGGGAAGTTGTTATAGGAGGGCGGTATGCATGTTGAGAGAGAGCTTGGGAGAGGTCTGTGTCTCTCGAATACACAGAGACCAGTGGCTGTAACCGTTTCTGCGTGTTTTTCGTTTCTCCCCTTTAGGTCCATACCCTGAGGGTGAGCCTTTTTTCTCCAGTTGGCATTAATACAGACTGTGTTCCATCATTAAGGTATCAGAGCCGGCACGATCTGACGAATGGTGACTCGAATGGAGCAGAAGGTTGAGCATATTGATACACGGCTGGTTCAGACTGAGCAGGGTATTGAGCTGCTACGAGGAGATGTATCAACCCTCAAATGCGACATAGCCACGATACAATCCTTGATGACCGAGGTGCTGACAGAAATGCGTCAGGCAAAGCGACCCGAAGCGATCGGTACCCGGATTGAAGAATCCCCGGGGTCTAAGGTTACAACAGAGTACCCACGGACAGAGGAACAAGGCGAGACGGAGGTGAAAGAAGCCCGTAGTGACTTCTCCAATCTCAGGAAACTTGATATGCCTTTGTTTTCGGGAGAGGACCCGCTAGGTTGGATCTTCAGGATTGAGCGATACTTCAAGCTCAATCGGATTATCGATGATGACAAATTGGACGCGGCAGTGCTCTGTTTTGAGAACCGGGCGTTAAACTGGTTCCAGTGGTGTGAGATTCGAAGTCCATTGCGAAATTGGATTGAGCTTAAACGGGCTCTGGTGTTGCGTTTCCACCCGTCGCAGTGCGGAGGCACTTACGAGATGTTAATGGCACTCCGGCAGAGAGGGATTGTGGTCGAATATATTGAGCGGTTTGAGCTTCTCTCGGCTACTCTAGATAAGTGCGACGACGAAGTGTTAATCGCCGCCTTCCTGAATGGATTACACCCAGACATCAAAGCCGACCTTCGGATGATTCCGTCGCATTCCATCCGAGAACTCATGGATATGGCTTTACGGATTGAGGAGCGCAACTGGGTCAAGTCTTCACTCCACGGGTACAGCGTTGACCGAGCCCCTAAGTTGTGGGATACGGACAAATGGGCCACACGTCCCAGCCCAACTCGTTACACAGCCGAAACATCTAAACCGACGACCCACACCGCAGCAATCTCGGCTGACCCCAAGAGCACACGCGTCGCGGAGAAGGTTGAGATACCGGTGACTCACATCACCAAGTCAGTACCAAAGAAACTCACTGATGCTGAAATTGAGAGGCGTCGAGAACTTGGTCTTTGCTTCAAGTGCGACGAGAAGTTTCGACCGGGACACAGATGTAAAAAGAAGCAGCTGCAAGTGTTGATCCTGGCTGAGGAGGCCGATAATGGCGAGAACCCGGAATCAGATGTTGTTACCCCTGCGATAGCCTCTGATAATTTTCCTGACGAGCCGGCGACTGAGGGGCAGCTTATGACTCTTTCTCTTAACGCATTGGCAGGCGTGACCGGGGGAAAAACCATCAAACTCAAGGGGACGGTGCTCGGTCATTCCGCATTAATCCTTATCGACTGCGGAGCCACACACAGTTTCATTCACCACGATTTGGTCAATGCTCTCAACCTGACCCTTGATCCGCGACTATCCTTTACTGTTCAAGTAGGCGATTCTCGTCATGTGCAGGGCAGAGGAATCTGTAGGGATGTACCCATTGTGATCCAGGGGCTCCACATTAGTCAACACCTCTATCCTTTTCAGCTGGGACTGTTCAAGTAGGCGATTCTCGTCATGTGCAGGGCAGAGGAATCTGTAGGGATGTACCCATTGTGATCCAGGGGCTCCACATTAGTCAACACCTCTATCCTTTTCAGCTGGGTGGGTCAGATATCATCCTTGGTGCAGACTGGCTTGAGTCACTGGACGAAGTTCTGGTGAGCTGGAAAAGGTCGACCCTCAAGATCGACATAGGCGGGGAATGGGTTTGTTTGCGAGGTGATCCGTCCTTACAAAAGTCAGAGATGTCGTCGTCTACACTCCTTAAATCCATGCGCTCAGCAGATGTTGGTTTCCTAATTGAGTTTACTGAGCTCAAAGTAACTGATATTAACCTTACGGAGATTGCCGCAGATGTTCAAGGCCTTCTTGGGGAGTTCCCTGCAGTACAAGTACAACCTACTGGCCTACCTCCTCACCGTTCGGTCGACCACACTATTGAGTTAAAACCAGGAGAGGCTCCACCTAATATACGGCCTTACCGTTATCCCCACTGCCAGAAATCAGAAATTGAGAAGATGGTGCAAGATATGTTACAAACTGGTCTGATTCGACCCAGCAGGAGCTCCTTCTCTAGTCCAGTTCTACTAGTCAAAAAGAAGGACGGTAGCTGGCGGTTTTGCATTGACTATAGGGCCTTGAATAAAATCACCATTCAGGACAAGTTTCCAATTCCAGCGATTGAAGAACTCCTCGACGAGCTACATGGGGCTCAGATTTTTTCAAAACTAGATTTAAAGTCAGGTTACCACCAGATACGGATGAAGCCAGGTGAGGAACATAAGACCGCTTTCCGTACTCATGATGGCCATTATGAGTTTGTGGTCATGCCGTTCGAGCTGAAGAACGCACCATCTACCTTTCAATCTCTCATGAATGATATTTTTCGTCAGTATCTGAGGAAATTCATCTTGGTCTTCTTTGACGACATTCTGGTCTACAGCGTGAACCGGCAGGAGCATTTACGGCACTTAAGGGTGGCCTTGGAGGTACTACAGCAACACCACTTGGTCATCAATGCCGAAAAGTGCATTTTCGCTCAGTCTGAATTGGAATACCTCGGCCACATCATTTCTCCAGCGGGGGTCCATGCAGATCCCTCAAAAGTGCAGAGCATGTTGACTTGGCCTGTACCGCAATCACTCAAGGAATTACGGGGGTTTCTGGATCTCACGGGTTATTACCGCCGTTTCGTCAGGAATTATGGCACCCTAGCATCTCCCCTCACCCGCTTGCTCAGGAAAAATGCCTTCCACTGGAATGAGGAGGCACAATCCGCCTTCGATATCCTCAAACAGGCTATGTCGTCAACACCGGTATTAGCCATTCCAGATTTTCAGGTCCCTTTTGTCGTTGAGGCAGATGCATCTGGTACCGGTTTGGGAGCTGTCCTGATGCAAAATGGACGACCATTGGCATATTACAGTCACCATTTGTCAACTAAGAACCAACAGAAATCTGTGTATGAACGTGAGCTCATGGCTATTGTCTTTGCAGTAAAGAAATGGCGGTATTACTTGCTGGGAAGGCCTTTCCTCATTAAAACAGATCAAAAACCACTGAAGTATCTCCTGGAACAACGGGTCCTGGATGGTCAGCAACAGCAATGGGTTTCAAAACTAATGGGCTTTGACTTTCAGATACAATATAAACCAGGGGCCTCCAATTCTGCTGCAGATGGACTGTCCCGAAGAGGGGGCGACTGTGCACTACAAGCGATCTCAGTTCTGCAAAATCCAGATATTGACTCGTGGGACCAAGAGGTTCGAGCGGACCCGACTTTGGCAGCGATCATTCAAGCCTTGGGCACCGGTCAGGCAACTAAGGCAGGATATACACTCAAAGGGGGTCACTTATTTTTTTAATGGACGCTTAGTGATACCGAAACAATCACCTCGAATTCCTTCCCTGCTACAGGATTTCCATGATTCGCCCATTGGGGGCCATTCAGGGTACTTGCGTACATATAAGCGGCTTGCTTCGTTGTTCCACTGGGATGGTATGCGCCGAGATGTCCAAAAATACGTGGCGGCCTGTGATACGTGCCTCAAGAACAAACACTTAGCTACCAGTCCAGCCGGGTTATTACAACCACTACCGATTCCTGACGCAGTATGGACTGACATTACCATGGACTTCATCACCGGATTACCCAAGTCGGCTAAATTTGATACTATATTTGTAGTAGTGGATCGTTTGACCAAATATGCGCACTTCCTTCCCCTAGGTCATCCTATAACAACTTCCCTATATAACAATATTTCCCATCCGTCTCTCTCCTCTAACCGTCACCCATACAATCCCTCAATTGCCCTTGGGCTTTCTTTTAACATAAATCAACTGAGGCCCAGTCCTCGCCTCATCAGACATAATCCGCATCTGGTAGTTAGATCAGAATAGGGACAAAGCCACCGGAAGCTCTTTGAAAACCAAGAGCATTCTATGTTTGGGGATAATGCCAAAAAGGAATGGCATCAAAAGTTCAAGTAAGGAAAAATGAGACCAGAATGAAACAATACATGGATAGAGAAACCTGATTTAAGGATTGAAAAAAGAGTGTGGACGCATTTTTCACTAGAATGACGACTTGATTACAACTACTATAAGACAAGTAGGATAATCTCTGAAACAGACGAGAAAAAGGAAGGAAACAAAAAGTACATGAAAATATCTAAATTGAGGTAACCAGTATCCTTCTGAATTAATATTTTCCACTAATGATTGAATATAACATAATACAATGGTAGGAGTGGTTGCATCATTCTTGGACGGGGACGACGTATATTGCCATATGTTGCATGAAGCTTATTGAGCAGCTTAAAGAAGCCTCCCATGAATAATAGAATAAAGAAAATGGACCACCATGGAAGCTGCAGAGCCATAGATGTCAAAGTGGCAAGAGCCAGAGAGCCAAACACAGTCATGAGCGCTTCAAACTGAGAAGAAAAACCAGGAAACAAGAACTTAGCTGCCAAGGCCAAGTAATATGCTGATATACTATGACAGAAGCCATGGAGGTCCTTGAACTTTGTATCTGAAGGTAGTTAAGTAGAATCGGAAGCAAGGGAGCGAGGATCAAATTGGAGGAAAAGGGTTCATGGGGGAAATTCAAGACAGTGACATTATTGAAGAACACAGTGTAAGAAATTGGTATTCGCGGATCGAAGCTGTGGCTATGGCTGTTCCTTCTGCTCTGGTTGCTTTGCAGAACAAAAGGTAAAGTCAGACCACATGGTCAGAGCGGGGATCACGGGCCCTTTGTAGAGTACTCGATACTAATTATAACTTGCTTATATAAACGAGATCTTACAGTTAAGGTCAGAGACAGTATAAAGCACGAAGCAGCAGAACCCGCCTACTCCATTTTGAAATAATTTAAGAAAATAATGTTAATATTTCAACACATATATATATATCGGTATATATATGTATACGTAGAAATAAAATGCATGACGAGCATTAATTATAATTCATTTCATGTGATAATATTTGCTACAGGCACGGAAAAGAGCTTTGGTGGATTAGGGAAAAAAAGAAAGAACAAAAAACCGAACCGAATACTAACCCGGTTGAGATAGTGATTCAAGAGTCAATAGATCATATCAACTCAGAATCAAACTAGTCATATTAATGTAATATAATTTAATTAAAAATAACAAAATATAACAATACTCATAATTACTAATGACAAAATATAAGGAAATACAATAATAGTTTAATTATAACAATAAGAAAATACAACAATATTGAGATCTTATAATTAAGGTCAGACACACTATAAAGCACAAAGCGGCAGCACCCGCCTGTTTTCCATTTTATTTATTTATCTAAAATTAAATAATTTAAGAAAGTAGTGTTAATATTTCAACATATATGCATCGGTCTATATATGTATACGTAGAAATAAAATGCATGACGAGCATCAATTATAATTCATTTCATGTGATAATATTTGCTACAGGCACGGAAAAGAGCTTTGATGGATGAGGGGGAAAAAAAAGGAACAAAAAACTAAACCAGACACTAACCTAGTTGAGACAGTGATTCAAAAGTCAATAGATTAGATCAATTCGGAATCAAACTGGTCATATTAAAATAATATAATTTGATTAAAAAATAATAAAACATAACAATACTAATAATTACTAATGACAAAATATAAGGAAATATAATAATAGTTTGATTGTAACGATAGTAAAGTACAACAATATTGAAAATTTTGATCTTTATGATTTCTCAATAACTAAAATTAATAGTTATTAATACCAAATCATCATTAAAATTTATTTAAACCTATAACAACTAAGATATTAAGAGTTGAATGAGAAAAAATAAGATAAATAACAATATAATCATTTAAACCGGTTTGGTCAGTTCAATCCACTTCGAACCAATCCTAGTTTTATCTATAAACGAGATTGGACCACTGAACTAGTTCACTGCTTGAACCAGATCCGGTTCTTTTTTTTGACTTTGCAAGGTCAAAAAAAGAAACATCGACAGACCTCATCCGAGGTGCCGGCGGTGGCGTTGGGTGGTGCTCAGCCTCTGACGGTGGCGACCACGGCGGCAGCAACATTGAGTTCATTAGATTGGCCATGAACAACGCTAGACGCTGCAGCGATCGTCTCAGTGTCTCTGCATTCATCTTCGCTGCTGAGGAGTTAATGCTTTGGAGTTTAGCATGGACCCGCGTAATATATAGAGACTGACCAGAGTCGACAAGACAACTTCAATCTTTAACGGCCGTAACGTCAAGCATCCTCCTTTTTCATTCTTTTTCATTATTTGTTTTTGTAACCCAAAGGTTGATGCAGTAATTTTATTCTTGAAAATAAAACACGGGATCAAATTATAAATTATATTGTGGCCAAAAAAAAAAAAGAATTAGCTTCTTGTGAGAATCAGGCCATTTTTGATTTTTTTATTTCAAAATATTTTTTAATTAAAAGTTAAAAAACAAGTTTAAAAACTTATTTCTGGTTATAACGCGAAAACCATCATATTTTCACGAATGATGATTACATTAATAAAAAAAAAAACTATTCTTTCACTCTTCAACTCATCATTTTAAATATATTTTTTAAAACAATAATTCAAACAGATTTCTTAATTTTTTTCAAAACTTCTGAAAAAATAAAACGTGCCCTTAGTATTTCATCATTTTTGTAAGAATTTATTATTACTAATGGAAATCATCACGCAAATTAATTTTATTCTGTCCTTTTGTAATTAGCACTATCTTTTTTCTAAAAATCGTTAAATTATTTTCAGCAGACCAATAAATTTTATGATTTTTGTGACAGGTTTTTTCTATCAATTTAATAAATATTATTATGTTAATTTGATATATGTGTGTGTTATATTTATAAAATTACTAACATTCGTATTAGCTAGATATGAAATGCCCCTCCCTGCAAACGAAAACAAATTCTGAATCCCACGTCTCCTAACTTCGCCGTTTGCCTCTCGGGGAAGATTCGCCGTTGGCCTTTCGGGGGAGATTCGCCGTTGGCCTTTCGGGGGAGGTTCGCCGTTTGCGATGGATGCGGCTCACATGACTCCAGACTCTTTCTTTTTTTTTTTTTTTTGTGCCCGCATCGACGTCACTCTTTAACTTTTCTTTGAATTTACACCCTCTTCCGTTCCACTATTTCACGACTATTAGATGAAAATTCCAATAGTTCAAATTTAATATTTTATAAAAATAATAATTATTATTATTTTAAATAAAAATAAATAAATTTAAACTATTAAAATTTAATCTAACCATTTATAATTGTAAATAGTTTACAATTGTAAATTATTATTATAAAACAAAAAAATTTTAAATTTGTCAAGATATGCATATCTTTAAGCCCAAAATAATCTATCTTCACACATTGGAGCAGTAAAAGCTGGATTAGTTGCTGGTGCATGTGAAAGGTGAATATATATACATATAAGTAATATATAATTCTATTTTTTAAAAAAATAGAATCGACGTTTCATTCGTCTTGATTTTTTTTTTTATAATATCTCTGTGTAACTAATTTTTCATTTACACTTTCTCAAGTCTTGACTTTTGTATAGTATCTATATTTAACTTCAATTTTTTTCATTCAGACATTTTATTCATAATACATAGGAAGAATTATAATAGGATCCCAAATAAAAAATTTAATTATTAAAATTTTTTACCGATAGGTGATCAGTATGAATATGTTGTTACTCTTTACCGTGGAATTTTTCATCTGATGCTCTTCAGTTATTAATTATTTTTATTCTATTCCATGAAAGAAAACGTGTGAATAAAAAAAATAGAATTTTATATTACTTATATAAATTCACCTTTCAATTCTATTTTTATTAAAAAATAAAAGATAAATAAAATATTGTGATTGAAAAAAAAAATCATATTTGAAATGTTTGAGAAACGGTGAGAATGAAGGAATACAAAATTTGAGAAACGAGAGAGACGAGGAGGAAGGAGGAGAGAGAGTGGTGTACCTGTGGGTGGGCGGAGAGGGATAGAGGCAGGAGCTGGTAGTAGATGGCAAATGAAAAAGAGGGGTGAGAGTTTTCATGACACATGAGAGAGAAGAGGGAGGAGGGATTAACAGCACGCTTTTAAAAAATAAATGATTCCAGGTCCAAAAAAACAAAAATAAATTATTAAAATAATAATAGTTGGTGCATAAGATAAAAACTGTTGAGTTGTCATAATTTTATTAATCGGAGTATGAATGAGGTGGTGCACTGGGAGTATGAAAGAATTTCTCTTGCTTTATTGTATGCTCAAAGATAATCATTGAAATGCAGTTACATGGTCAACAATTAATATATTCCGCCCTTTATTTGATGGTTCATATCCACCTCCTCCTTTCATCAACTGGAGAACCTAATCTTGAATGTCAAAAATGGTTCCACCTTGGCCAGCAGACAGCAGTTGGCTTCGTCTATTCTTATTTCTTCTCTTCCTGAACTTGTCATTGGCGAAGTTATTGAGCACAAATCATCACGTTCCACATGGCTTGCAAAAGAATGATTGTCCACACAAAATCAAGCTCGTTTATTTCTTTTGCATACTCAGGTTACAATTTTTTTTCGTTTGACTAGTTTAAAGGACCACGTTGCTATCTCCACAAATTCCTCCGGATGTTGTTGTCCTCTCGCTGTGTACATGCAAAAAGAAAAGTATAGACAGATTTTATAGAAAACAAACCAGCAGTGGAAGAGCTCACACAACCCAAAGGAAGCGGAGAGGAATTGAATTAGCAGCTACTTTCCCTCTAGGATGCTAACAAGATGAGGATCAAATGCATCTCTTAAGGGATTATATTGTGCCAATGCCATAGATCGGTGGAAAGCTGTTGTTGATCCAAATAGATGGACTACCTTCGTCTCTTTTTCAGGTGCTGATTGGGTAAAATGTAATTTACCTCGTGAAGCAGGAAAACATTGCACTAAGAAAGCTCCATGGAAAGTGCTTTTTGGATATATCTGTTGGGATGTTGGAACTAAGAAAGCTCCATGGAAACTGCTTTTTGGATATATCTGTTGGGATGTTGGACTTCTTGGTGTAATCAACTTTTCAGTGATCAAGAACCAAACCACAGGAAGGACGCAAATGATAGTTTGAAGAGCTTGCTTAGATCAAGACTAGCTAGATCTTGTACGTTTTACAGATTTATGCCAGATACTAACGACATGGATGCTCATACTGAAGAAGACTAAATGAAGCTGGAAGAGGATGGATCAGTTTTGCGCATTGGTGACAATGGATGCGGTGGTGTGATCTGAGATAATGTTGACAGTTGGGCTTGTGGCTTTAGTTGTAAACTCACGAAGGTGCCTTCTGCTATAGCCAAGCTCATTGGCTTCTTGTAGGGACTTACACTTTGCTGGTCCAAAGGCTTTAAAAAGATTAATATATCTATTTAGACTGCATTGAGACAATC